CTAGGCTGGGGGAAGGGGCAACAGGGCTCACCGGTAAAAAGCGCCGCGCGGGCTCTGATCAAACCCCCCTCCCTCGGTTAAGAAAACGGCAAAAAAGCCTAGGGCTCAGGAAACTGGGACCTTCGCAGCGATGGCTGACCCGTTGGCGGTTGTTCTGGAGAGGTACCCTGAGAGGGGGATCACTCTGGAGCAGCTGACCTTGTTCAGGGGGGCGGTTCTGGCGGAGATGGAGGGGATCCAGGAGGGTCCCCTGCCCAGATTCGTGGGACCGGCTACCCTTAAGAATGGGGCAGTCATCGTTAGAGGAGAGGACGCGGCATCCCTTAACTGGCTGGTAGGCCGGGTGGGGGGCATGGTGCCGTGGGAGGGCGCCAAGCTCAGAGTGGTGGGCTTGGATGAGCTCCAGAGGCGGCACAGGGCGGTAGTCTGGGTTCCGGGTCCTCCGAGGCCTGCGGCTACCGTCCTGGCGCTGTTGGAGAGGCAGAATCCTGGCATCGGCGCTCTGAACTGGCGCGTCTTTGCCGAAAACGTAGGTGCTTCCCCGGAGGGGAGGAACTATGTTTTCGGCATCTTGGAGTCCAGCGTCCTCAAGCTGAGGGAGCGGGACTCCAAGCTTTGCTATGGGATCGAGCAGATCACCGTTAAGGTGACTCGATCTCATGGTGAGGGGGGGAGCAAGGAGGAGCCCCGATCTAAAGACTAGCTTATATAATGGGCTGGTCGATGATAGGGGTTACCCAGATTAACCTGCATCACAGCAAAGGAGCCTCGGCGGTTCTAGCCAGGAGCCAGTCTGTGATGCACACAGCCATTTCCTTGATACAAGAACCATGGGTTGTCCGTGAATGTGTCAGGGGGGTGGCAGCATGTGGGAAGCTTTTTAAAGCTCCCACCGAACAGAGGCCTAGAGCGTGCATAACGGTTAAGGGGCTAGATGCACGGCTCCTGCCTGAAGTATGTTCCAGGGACCTGACGACAGTGGAGGTGACAGTGGTTGGCAGCGCTGAGGATGCCAGGAACCTCATCATCTGTTCGGCCTACTTCCCGCACGGAGAAGAAGTGCCGTCGCTGGAAATAGTCAGATTGGTGGATCTCTGCCAGAGGGAGGGATTGCCATTACTGATAGGATGCGACGCCAACACGCATCATACCATATGGGGAAGCACTGGAACGAACGAAAGGGGAAGGAGGTTGCTGGAGTACCTGCTAACTACTGACCTGGAAGTTCTGAACAGAGGTAATAAACCCATCTTTTGCACGGAGGGGAGAAGTGAGGTGTTAGATCTCACTATCTGCTCGCGTGTATTCGTGCGAAAGGTGAGGGAATGGAAGGTGTCGAATGAGCCCTCGCTCTCCGACCACAGGCAAATAACCTTTAGACTTTCAGATCTCAAAGTGGAAGTAAAGAAGGTGAGGAATCCAAAGAGGACGGACTGGGTATCCTATCAGAGGGACCTGGGAATCAATCTCAGGGACTTTCCCAAGAAGTACGGCACGGCGGAGTTAGAGCTCTGTGTGGACTATCTGCAGAGGGTTTTGATTGGCTCTTACGAAGCGAACTGCCCGTCCAGCATGGTGACAAACAACAGGGGAACTCCCTGGTGGAACCCACGACTGCAGGGTCTTAGGATCAAGGCTCGGAGGGCTTGGAACAAGGCGAGGAACACGGGCCGACCCTCTGACTGGGATCTTTACAAGAGATCCCAGAAGGAGTATAGAGACTCGGTGGTGGAGGCGAAGAGGAAGAGCTGGAGGGACTTCTGCGAGTCGGTGGAGGGCATGCCAGCCACCACCAGGCTTTGCAGATTTCTATCCAAGAACCCGGAGACAGCGTTGGAAGCGGTCCGAATGTCAGACGGCACCATGGTATCTGGAGAAAAATTCCTGATGCATCTTCTGGAGACTAGTTTTTCTGGTTTCCGGAGGGATGTGGATAGGTGCGGAGAGGTTGACATGGGCCCCTTCAGGGCACGTGCCAGCGATTGGAAACTAGCGGCCGAAATTGTGAGGCCAACTAGGGTCAGATGGGCGATTGGCTCTTTCCGACCTTTTAAGTCGGAGGGGCCCGATCAGGTGTTCCCGGCTCTCCTTCAGAGAGGGCTGGAGTAGGTTGTCGGGTCCCTTACAAAGGTGCTGAGAGCATGTCTGGCCCTCGGGTATACCCCCCAAGCGTGGAGGAAGGCGAGAGTCG